CTGGGTGCTATGGAAGAAGCAATCCCAAGGCACAGTGCCAAAGTCTTGCAATCTCACATTGTACAAATAAATCCCAAATTCTTGCCCTCAGCTGGCTGGCCCCGAAACCAGCAAAGCATTTGTAAGGCCTGGAGAGGGTGTCCATAGGTCACACATACACAAATAATGATGGTATGTGATGAAACCCAAGGGAAAACCCAACGGCATCGAGGGCAGAATAACAAATTCCCCACGGGATTGCACGGCCAGGCTATGACTGAAACCTGCCTAAAAAAAAAAAAAAAAAAAGCACGGCCAGGCTATGACTGAAACCTGCCTAAAAAAAAAAAAAAAAAATTTGAGATGAAAACCTGAACTTTTCCTGCTGTTTTCTCTCCCTCCCACTCCAGGCAGTGACCGGAGCCAGCGAATCACCAAGAAATGTTCTGCATTTTGCCCAACAATTGACCTGAACATCGGCATAGCCGGAGTCGCCACCAGCTGCTGCGAGAGCTCCTTGTGCAACATGAGTGGGGCCAACAGTGTGAAAACCAGTTCCACCCTCCTCACCCTGGGCGTCCTGGCCAGTCTCGCCTGCATCCTCAGGATGGGTTTTTGAGGGGTTTTTTTGGGGGGGGAAAATGAGCTGCTTGGCTTTGCATGGCATGGTTCAAGCTGCGATCCATCAGGTGGGAATGCTGCCCTGTGCCTCCCACCTGGAAGGTCACCTCCCATCCGGAGGTTTTTTTTTGCTCTTTCCACGCTCTGATGACAACATAAAATGATGTTTGGGAGAGAAAGGGGTAAAATGAAGCCCTGCACGTGCAGAATGGCCCCATGTGGCCACCATCTCTCCTACTCCTGGCATTTATAACTCCGTGCGTTTTTTGCCTTTCATTTTATCCCCGCCATTCTCTTGTGCCAATATTTTTTTTCCCCATTTTCCACCCTGTATCATTTTGCTCTGAGAAAGCCTTTAATATTCCAGTTGTTAAACAGAAACTGGGCACAATAAAGTGTTATTTTATTCTATTATGTGGCTGCGTGGTGTGGCACACTGGGTGTAGCTGCTGGATGTATCCATGTTTTGGGATAAAAGCGGAAGCGTTTTCGCCTGCAAGTTGAATGGGAATAATGCTGAAATATATTAAAATTACTCTGCATTCACTTCAGGAAGCCTCTCCCCAGATTTTATTTTTTCTGCACTGGCAGAAATGGCATTTTTGTGACTCCATTTTGGAATAAACTGAATTCTATTTAACTTCCTTTCAATTCCTCTCCTGGGTCAGCTGCCTGGAAGGAGCTCTTGAGTTCTCTTGGAAACAGAGGGGACAAGGCAGGGAAGGGATATGGAGTATTTTCTTTAAACTGATTTAAGATCTCTCAGTGGAAGTTCCTTTAGAAGCATTAGGATTATTTAGAAAACGGAGAAATGTACCATGCTTAAAGGAAAATCATAGGAAAAGACAGATGGTTTCTGGAAACAAACCTGGAATTTTGCAGACTCATCTGTGAAAAAATATTCACAGTGCAAATAAACCTTTTATGTTTGCTGATCAAGGTAAAATTGAAGGGACTCATTACCCTGCTCTGACCTTCCTTGTGGATGATCATAGGAATGAGAGCTTTGCTCCCTCCGACCCTTCCAGGGAGGCTGAACTTTCTCCTGGGAGGAAGGAGCTCTGCACAAGGATCATCCTGAGGGAGATCTCCCAGGGAAACCAGTTGGGTGCAACTCACCCAGCTGGTTTTCTCTCCCTAAGTTCCTCGCACAGCTCCATTTGACAGGCATTTTCTGGGATTAGAGGAACAACACTCAAGAACAGCCACATCTTTGTTCTTTCCAACAGCTGTGCAAGGAAACCTGGGCTCATGGCTCCAGCTCATGCCAATCTTCCCTTATCCCTTCCTCTTCACCTTCCTCCCATCCACGTCCAACCCCAGCTCTGCATTCCCTCGTTGTTTTCTCTCCCAGATTTCCTCGTTGGCTTCTTCCTCCAGTCTTACTCTGGGTTTTTCCATTCAAACTCTATTTCCGTGCTTCAACTCATTGTTTCCTCCTCAGTAAATGCAAGATTGGCCAAGGATACTTTGATTTTGGCCATGAGTCTCCCCACTCTCCCCACGGATTTTATTGCCTGTCCCAGTTGAGCTCTCTCCATCCATCTTCCCAATTTATTTTCCTCACCCTTCTTCCCTTCCTGCCAAATTTAGGGATATTCAAGTGACAGGTCCAATAACCCCAAACAAGCCAATTCTGTGACCTTGGCTGGCCATATTCTGCCCCACACCCCGCTCCTAACACGGTGACAACTGAACTATTTGGAACAATCTTCCTCCAGTGCCATCCACAAGTTCAGGATTCCTTAGGGACAATGGCTGGCACAGGGAAAGGCCAAGACAGGGCTGGTACGGCCTCGGGTCTTGTACTGCTAAGTTTGGGAGTCCAGACCTGCCCTTGGCAGCCAGGTTTAAAATTAAGGTCATGTCTTGAGCTGCCTGAACTTGGCAGGTACCTCAGTTTTGGGATGGGAAGGATCCTGGCATGGCAAAGGGGATGGAAGCACGTGGGGCACCCCCTGGAGCTGTTGCATGGAAAAGTTATAAACAACCCTAGAAATCCAGAAGTGCCATCCCTAAGGGAGCAGCTCCATCCTGGCTGGCTCCTTCTTGCCTTATTTCTCCCTGAACCCACAGGTTCTTCCCTGGTGCCCAACAAAATGCATCCACGTGCTCCAAAGCTGACCCATGTCCCAAAGCCCTTATCTGGAGGCGGGAGCAGCAACTTCCCCGAGGCACGGGAGGTCCTAAAAACATGAGAGCTCCTGTGGTGAACCCTCCCCTTGGATTGTTGTGTAAGAGGAGACTCTGCCAGCCTTCCCGAGAAATCCTGATTGGCACCTCCCACGCGGGCGCTGCTCTCTAATTCCAAATCTTCCCATCACCCCGGGTTTCTGGTGCCTCCCATGGCTGCACACTCCTCACATGGCAGCATTCAGCTGCCCCATGAGCAGAGACATCTGTGATGCCTGGAGGGCTTTTGGGAAGGAGATGGGATTGATCCCATCAATTCCAGTAGCTGGGATTGATCCTGGGAGGTAACTGCCTCTCTCCCCCTGTGGATTATATAAAAGTCATTTTTCAGAGCTCTGAGTCACTGCACCAGGACCTGGATCAGCCAAGGAGGCCTTCCCTGCCTGAATGAGGCATCTGCACAAGGTGCTTTAACTTTGGCCCTTCTTTTCCCTCCCTTGGGGCTTTCCCACCATTGGTTCTGAAGGATCTGTGCTGCCTGCTGCTCTCCTTCAATAATTCCCCTGCCTTTTTCCCCACAACATGAAACTTCTCCCGCTTTTCCCTGTTTATTTGCCCAGACCCAACACAGCACCTCAATGCCAAAGCAAGAGACAGGATGGATGCAAGAGGTCAAAGCAACACCCTCAGTGAGTCTAAAAATCTTCTGGAAGCCATGGAAAGGGACAAAACCAACCCTTTTCCCAAAGCTGACCGCTGCTTCCTTGTCACAGAGCCAACCCATGGCTCCAATTTGAGTCCACTGCCAACTCATGGCTCCAATTTGATCCACTTTAATTTTCCTGTATGGATAATAAGATTACTCCAGAGAAGTGACTCAGCTTCCTTGGGGATTTTTTTCTCCCAGTCTTCCTCAATTTGCTCCTCACTTGGTGTCCCTGCTCCAGGCCCTCCTCCAGGCTGTGATCCCAGGCACCCTCTCCATGCTGGATCCTTGACTGATGCCTCTGAGTGCTTTTGAGTTTTGTAATCTGCCCAGTTGGGAAAAAAATCTCTTTTCCATGCTCTCCGTGCACCAGGAAGAGGGAATGCTCCAGCATTCCAAGGTACCTCAGAACCACAGTGCTAAGGAAGACATTCACGTCCTGGAGACAGCTCCCAGAAAACTCAGAAAATTTCCCATTTCCCACCCAAATTTCTCTCCTTAGTACATATTTGTTGGGTGTGCTGGGAATGTTTCACCTCACTGCTCCTTCAAAGTCAAAGTCAAAAAGTCAAAGTCCAAGTCAAAGTCAATGTCAAAGTCAAAAGTCCAAGTCTAAGTCTAAGTCTGACTTGTGCTGATCCTATTCCCAGAAGATTCATGTGGGAATAAAATGGATGTCGGAAAAGTCAACAAAGCCAGGTTGGATGGGGCTTGGAGCAGCCTGGGATAGTGGAAGGTGTCCCTGCCCATGGCATGAGGTGATTTTTAAGGTCCAAGGTGGTTTTTAAGGTCCCTTCCTACCAACCTAGTCTATGATTCTATGGAAATCAACAGGAGCTGGGATATGGAAGGGGAAAGGAATAAACAGAACAAGTCTATGGGATAAATAAGACCAAAAATAAGGGGAAAAAAAGGTTCTTTCAGTCTCATTGCAAAATGCCAGCAAGGAGCCACACCCACTAATGAGGGAGAAAAACCTGTTTGCAAAACACTGGGGCAAAGGACCAAGCTGTCCTGGGTGAAGCACAAGGCTCAATTTGATCATCACCACTGACCTCACCAACCTCCAAAACCCAGGGAATGTCACTTTGGACACAGGGCTTGGACAACTCTGGAATTCACCACCTGATGACATCATTCCGGGATCAGGAGGGCCTGAAAAAGTGTCAGAAAATCACATGGATCAGTAAATCATCTAGGGTTGGAATGATTCATGTTCGAAACAGTCAAAAATGCCCTGCCGATGGCTACGTGCAGGGAATTGCCAGTTAAGTTATTCCATAATTGCCAGAAAAAGCGGGGTTTGACAATATTTTCTTTCTGCTGTCCAGGACTAATCTTGTTTTAGAAAAAGCTCTGTGGACTTGGCAGCTCGAGCTCTTACAAGATGCATCTTGAATGAGGGTCTCTATCCCAGACTGTCAGGAACAGATTTTAAGGAATTTAGAGGAGAGGAACAACACAGAGGAATAAAAGCAAAAGGGTTGATTTAAGAGGAGAATTTGAAAAAATGACACTTTGAGGGATGGCTCTTTCCAGAGCAGAACTGCAATTCCAGGGTGCCAATTTGTGGGCTTGGAAATGGAAGCCTGATTTCAAGAAACTGTTGGGCATGGAAAAAAAGCAGCTCCTCTACAGAATCCCTGGATAGCAGCAAAACTTCATTAAATCAAAATTGTACAAGGTATTGGAGGATTACAAGCAGGAAAAAGAGCAAGCAGAGGGATTAACCAGAGGAAAATTGATAAAGAAATGAAGACTGACGTGAAAATCTGAGGAAAATCTTCTGTTTAACCAACCATTAGCTAATTTAATTTAGTGTAAAACACACTGATTTTGAGGTAAACCAGCTTAGGCCAGCTCAGAGGCTGAGTCTGGTGCTGTTGAATAATTAAAGCCAATGAATGGTGCAAACGCTGGAACATCACGTGCTGTCCATGCAAAGGGACCAGAAAAATTCATTCCTAGGACAATCTCCCCGTGCCTCCAGGCTCTGCTTTCATCAGAGCAGCGGCTCTGGAAGGGAGGAAAGGAAAAAATTCAGAGGAGGAGAGAGCAGATCCCGACTTCTTATCACTCACACGACCAGAAGAGCAAGAAATGTGTGGCTGAGAGGGCTTTTCCCCAAGGTGCCAGCCCTTTTCCAAGGGCCCTGGCGTGGAAAACTCCCACACATGAACATTCCACACCCTCGGGTTGATTTCATGTCCACCTGGAACCTGTAAAACTGCTGCTGCCGTTGGGCTGGGGTATAAAACCTGCCCTCCAAGCAGCTTCCCAGTGCTGCTGGGAGGATCTGCTGGAGATGAGGACTCCTCTGGTCACCTTGCTGGCTGCTGTGCTCTGTGTGGAACAAGGTGAGCCTCTCCTGCTGCTCCTGCTTAAGACAAGGGTTAGGGGGAAGGGGGTGACATTTTTCCACATGGCAGAGCTCTAGAGGGCTGTCACCATCTCTGCAGCGGTGTGATGGTGTCACCAATGTCCTTTTGTACCTCAGGCAGTGATTTGAGAAATGAGAATCTGATTAATTGATTCTTCTTTCCAGTGCTGGAGCTCTGGTGGTGCTCCAACTATTAAATCCACACTGTGGTCCTTGGGATCTTCCAAAAGGAGGCAAGCTGGAAGTGACAGAAAGCATAACAAAATGTTTTTTTTTTTTTCCCCTTAATAATTTCAGTTTTTGAGTATTTTAGAGATTTTTCCGTCCTGCTGCTTCCTCCCTCATAGTGGTTTTCCACGTGTCTTCCTAGAAAATGCAACACTGGGAATTTTTGTAGATTAAATCAGCGGCAGAGGTGAAAGAACTTTTCATGTTAAAGGCATCCTGCTCCCAAGTGTTGTCCTCCTTCTGGCAGTGAGACACTCGCATTGCTCCATCGCTCCTGGCACGCGGGAATGATGACCAGAGTGCCAAAATTTCCCCCACACGTGATGGTTTCCCAGAAACCACGATACGAATCTGGTTGAGAAAGAGGCATCTAATTAATAAATTATCACTGATGTATCAACCCCCTACTCCTACATCCTTTGGAATGGTTCTCCAGCGTGCCTGGAAGAGCAGGACCTTCGGCCGGTTTTGGGTGTGGAAAAATGACTATTCATTATTTAAAAAAAAAAAAATTGATTTAGTGCCCACAATTCCTGATTGAAGCAAAGTAACATGGGCAGAAGAGGAGAATTTTCCAAGGCAACGTTCTCAGTGTGACCCAGGATGAACTGGAAAGCTCACAGAGATCCAGGATCACAGGTTCATGGTGGGATTCCTCACCAGTGACATTTGATATTGGCAGCAGATTCCCAATGGATTTAAGGACTTTTACACAGCACATTTCTGTGCCCAGCCTAGACCCAGAATAAGAGATTTCAGCTTTCTGGCCTAAAACTGGGACATAACAAAATGTGGAAACTGGCATTTGATCCTTCTCAGGTACCCTGGATCTCATCCTAGACCCTAATGACCAAATTTTGGTCAAAACTCTTGATCTCTCAGCCGATCAAAGAGGGTTTTTTGCCTTTTCAATCCATAAATTTACTGTTTTGTGAGTTTTGTGTCCAGCAAAAATCATAAAATGTCTTGATCCTCTTTGCAGAATCACATTAAGGGTGGAAAAGACCTCTAAGATTGTCAAGTCCTTGCTGCAATGCTGGACAAGGCCAGGCAGATATTTGCTTAAGATGTCCCTGAGAGTTTCCAACAAGGAAGATTCCTCAGCCTGGAATTGCTCAGAGACTGTGATCCCTTTAGGAATTTAATTTTAATATCTCTTAGCATCTGTTTTTGTTCTGTTCTCCCATATTTCCATCACAGGGCACATAAATTATTTTATTACTTTCTTCTTTGCTGTGTCATTTTTCTTGCATCATGAAGAAGATTCCTGCGACTTTCCTCAGCATATTCTCATTTTCAACAAACAAACTAAAAGCCTCCCAACCTTTCTGACAAGGTCACATTTCCAGGATCTCTGACCTTCTCTCCTCCCTCTGCTCTGGTCCCTCTCCAAATGCTCTGCATTTTTGGAAGTGCTGCGGAGAGATTTGGGCACCAGGGCTTCAGCTGAGCCTTTGCCAGGGTGGAAAGGCCACTTTGTGTATCTTGCACATGACATTTCTGCCCGTGTCCCCTTGGGTGACGCCTGTTTCCATGGCTGGAATGTGACACTGTTGTCACTGTGGTTCTGAATTGTAACTGAACCAGTTATTTGTCACCCTACATTTAAGTGTCTAAGTTTTATCTACAGTAATCTATAATTTATTTATCTTGATTTAACTGCATCCAATCTTCTTGTTCACTCTTTTATTGCATCCATCTGTCAAAATCACTTAAAATCACAGGGATGGTTTGGGTTGAAAGGGAGATTTAAGATGATCTCATCCCAACCCCTGCCATGGGCAGGGAAATTTTCCATTAGCCCAGGTTGCTCCAAGCCCCATCCAACCTTGCCTTGGACACTTCCAGGGATGGAGCAGCCACAGCTTCTCTGGGAAACCTCTGCCAGGGCCTCACCACCCTCACAGGGAAGAATTCCTTCATTGCTCCAGTTGGTTGGACCAATAATCCTCAGGAATTACCCTCTGAGGGTGTTTTCACAACTGGCTTTGCCCCCATTCCCTGGAATTTTCAGCAGCTCGAGAACAACATCAAAGTTGTTGCAAAAATTCCTTAAAACCTCCTTGAATCTCCTCTACTCTGCACATGAAAATTCAACTTCTTGTAGAGGTGACAAAAGCAAAAAAAAGCTGCACAGGATCAACAGTTGGGGACTTTTTCCTTCCTTCCTATCAGAAACTTCTCGTTTCATGGTGTGACCTCTGCTGTCCTTCCACATTCTCACTGTCAACTTCTTATCGGGCAAAAGTGCGCTCACAGGGACGTGTCCTTTAGTTGCTTTTGCCCTTTCCAAAGTGACAGACTGGCCCCAGATTCAGCAGGAATTCAGCCAGCATTTGGCCTTTGTTTCCCTCCAAAAATTAGCTTTGTTTTTAAAGGAACTCAGTCACAAAACTCCACACTTGACTCTGGGTGATTCACAAGCTCTGAACTCAACCACCGCTATTAAACCTTTCCATCTGCCCGGCTGGGGAGTGCTCTGCACATATTTTGTTCTTCTTATGATGCCTCAGGTTTTAGATTTTATGTTTTTCAGATTCTGCACTGCTTTAGTGTGCAATTCTGAGCTTCTTATAAGGGGTAGCAGGCTCTCTTCACAGAGCAGGGAGACAAAACAATTTCTTCTCCAGCTGGGGACCAAGGGCAACCAATCCAAATCTTAGGCCCAAGAGCACAAACAACAGCAGAATAAAGAGAGAAAAATAAGAAGGATGGGACTTCATAAGCTAAAGCTGTAACTGGGCAATTAACCCCAATATGCAAATGGACCAAAACTTATAAAAGTGAGAGATCTCATGACCGCTTGTCCATTTAGTGACCATTTTGGGTTTATGTTGGGTGTAGCCCTGGCTGGGCTCTTGTGCTGCCCAAGGTGGATCCATTAAAGTCTTCTAATAAATCCCTGCTTTATTCTTTAACTCTGTCCAGTCTCTGTTCTAGGTCAGCCTTCACAAGGCATCACTTCCTTTTTTTTTAGTACTTCCCAGAGGTCTGGCCTACCACATTCTGGTTTTGAGGGCAGACACAGACATTTGCGGGCAGGAAACACTGCGTAACCTTCCCGCCAATCATCTGCCACTGCTGCAGATGTAGGAATTATCTCACCAAATCTGCCTTCAGCACTTACACCAAGCTTCTGGTTAAGATTTTCCATTCATTCCCGATTTTATGCTAGAAACAGGAGTTTGACAGAGCATCTGAGGGCTCTCACCAGACCTCCTAGAACTGAGGTTAGGCCGGTTCAGTGATGTTCAAGCACAAAAAAAGAGATGTGACAGCAGCCTCTGAGCCAGATGAAAGAGAAGTAGGACACTGGGCATTGTCCACCGCCTCAAAACGCTACGGGCATCTTTAAATTCTCCCTGCCAAGCCCTGCCCAGGAGAAACCCTGAGCAGTAATTGGCAATTCCCGTGGCTGAGCCCTCAGGACCGAGCTGCTATGGCTCAGCAATAATCTCCTTCATGAAAGCCCCCAAATCCTTGAATTCTGCTCACATCTCCTGCTCCCAGGGATTGCAAACAGATCGATAACACTTCTCAGCCTGAGCCAGAGGAGACAGAGAGGGATTTAGCGCTGCTGCCACGGGTCAGGAGATAAAGAAAGCCACCGGTCATTCCCACAGAAACATTCCTCAGGCTGTAAGGAGGGAAATGGAGATCTCTGCAGTGGGGTTTTTGTAGCCTTTAAACCTTGTAATGTGCTTTTTTCCTGTTTTTTTTGTTTTTTGCCCCAGTTTATCCATTCATGTGCTACACCTGCCAAGAACAGGAGTCCAACAAGGACTGTTTGACCATTTCCATGTGTGCCAAGGAGGACAAACACTGCGTGACCATCCGGAAGGACATCGGGACAAGTAGGTTTGGGAACAACACCTTGTTTGTTTCGTAGGAGAGCAGTCCCAGGAATGGGATTTCATCCCAGTATGAGAACAACAGGCCTTGGTGACCAACTTTTAGG